CCAATACCAATTGTATTGAGAATGAGTTGTGCCTTGTTTTCTTGGATGAAACCAACAAGAAGTGATTTTCCAGTGATACTATAAATGCCCTTGGAGCCTCGAGGATGTATATGAGGTAGAATGATACCACAAGGTTCTAACATAGCTAATGAGAAAGCAATACCAATACCAGCTAAGGCGGGTGTTGTGCTAAGATTAAAATAACTAACATTACCGCCAGGAGTATTTACCCAAAAGGTAGGGTCGAGAAGATTTCTGACATAGTCGGAGGAAGTGAAACGATTCGAATTCTGCAATCCTGTCAGAGGAGTATTGCATGCAGCGGCATCACAAACTTGATCTTGTGGTGTATAACATTGTTCTAATGAAAGAGAACCAACTGCACATAAACTCAATCGAACCATGAAAGTCTGACCATCATTAAAGCTGATTGGTACAGTAAAAGTAGTGTAGAGTACATGGATATGTACAAGTGCTTCGTCAATAACTTTCTTATGACAATTATCAGTAGGACAATATATCGGATATTTTAATGAGAATTGAATATTCATCAAATCACCTTGAACATCTCTATTATATATTAAAAACAAATAAAAATATTCGAATAGATATTTTAAGGTAGTTTACCTTTTTTTTCTACCAGTGAAGTTTCCATTCGTTGGATAGAATTGCGCAACAAGATTAGTAATCTCAGGGAGATGTAATGCATTACCAACCTAAAAATACAATAAAAAAGAAAATATTATAATAAAGAAAACTTACAGATTTTGATAATGCTTGTAAATCAGTTATTGTTGATGTATAACCATTGATCATATCACTTCTATATGTAATAATAATTGGATCTGATACTGATTAAACGAAGAAAAGTAAATGGATTTAAAAGCGATGAAAACGAGAATAGAATTTACATTTATTTTTAACAGTGATATTCTTTGTAGATAAATACGTAGGAATAAGTGAGAGGACGATTACCCCACCAACAATACCAATGATCACCAGACCAATACAAATTCCTGCACATGGTATCCATGTTCTATACCATTTATTTCTAAATAAAAACAAAAAATTTAGTAATAAAATCTTGAATGAGAACGATGAATTATATATCTTAATAAGAAAAATCCATCTTACATATTCTATGATCATAAACTTACTGTTGATTTTCAGGTCTATACGTAATAATAGCCATTACTGATCTTTTATTAAATCTATATGCAAATATATAATAATATAATATAATATAATAAATAGGAGCAATATTATTTGTTGATAATAATGATAATAGAAGAGGATATATTTATTGTAGCTTGATTTCTCATTAATAAATCTAATAATATACCTTTTTCTTTTGTTATTCTCTTTTATATACAGTATCGTACGATATTTGTACTTATCTTTCATTCGTATCTCGATAATGTGAGTATTTATGAGTATAAATAAAGATGATTCAATACTTTCACCTGCTCTTTGATAGTAACATTTCGTTTACCACTAGTTCAATTCAAATTAAATTATCGACAATATTAACTTATAGAAAATGTTATATTTTTTATCTTTTAATATAAACAACAAAATACTGAAAATAAGTTCATCATTTATTATAGAATTCTTTTGTCTTCTTTATTAAAAAGTGTATTTTATACATTATTGCAGTACTATGATCCTTATGGACAATGTGTGCGCCAATTGACTACAACATTTGGACAATAAATTTGATTGTCGAAAAGCAAAAATTGAGATTATAGCAACTTGATTTATTTTTTTATTCAGAAATTAGATCAGCCTGATTATGTTCAATCTTATATAGAATGTTGTAGAAAAAATAATAAAAAAAAAAAGTGTCTCTCTTTCTAGTCATGATCGTCATTGTATTACGCAGATAATCCACATTTTTTTCTGCAATCCATGTTTACATCCAAAGGATAATTAGGAATTGCCTGTCTTAAGTTATCAATATAATCGTCAGTTTCACCAAAACCAGCAGATAATGGACTATCAGGAAAACGAAACATATTCAAGCCGAGTGTTAATAGACCAGGATCTTCATAGTTGTAGGCATCGAGTTGTGTAGAGTTGGCACAATCTAAGTTTTGTACGAAATGAATAGCACCTTGTGGAATCACCGTAGCATACCCAATACCAATTGTATTGAGAATGAGTTGTGCCTTGTTTTCTTGGATGAAACCAACAAGAAGTGATTTTCCAGTGATACT